TTGTAATTAAAAAAATATATTTTATTTTTTATTTTTATTTTATGTGTATGAGTGTATTGCCTGCATGTATGTGAGCACACCTGTGTCATGCAATGCTGCAGAGGTCAGAAGAGGGCTTCGGATTCCCCTGGAACTGGAGTTAAGGATGGTTCGTAGCCGCCATGTGGGTGCCGGGAATCGAACCCGGGTCCTCTGCAAGAGCAGTCGGTGCTCTTAACTACTGAGCCGGCTCTCCAGCCCCAGCTGTTGTATTTTTTTTTTAGTTACTTTTCCCCTCCCTTTCCTGAAATAGTGGAATTTTTCTGGAATATTTACTATGAGACCTGGCTGAGCTCTTAGAGTTAAAATTCACAAAAGCATAGGGTCTGAACTAAGGCTATAGCTCAGTGGTACAGTGCTTTTAGCTGGATTGGATCCCCAACATGGACACACACAACACACCCACACACTCAGATACACAAAACATTCACAAAGCCGTGATCACATCACCCTGGGGTTTTTCTCTCCCACACTTGTCCACCGAGGAGCCTCTTTCTTCCTCCTGTGCAGCTCTTACGGAGGTCTCTGCTCTAGTGAATAGAGATTCTCTCTCTGCCCACCCTGCTCTTCATCTCGGGGCTGTGGTTTGCCCGTTACTGAATGTCTCCGCACTAACAGAAGCTGTCCGTGTTCTCGGTTTGTTCAGCTTTCCCGTTGCCTTTGGAAGGACTGGTGGCGTCCACATTGCTTGAAAGCTACAGTGGCAGCTAGACTCCAGCATAGACGTTTAAAACTTGTACACTGGGTGCTGGAAAAATGGCTCAGTAGTTAAGAGTACTGGCTGCTCTTCCAGAGGACTGGGGTTTAGTACTCAGCACCTGCATGGCAGCTAACAACTATTTGTAATTCTAGTTCCAGGGAATCCAATGCCTTTCTCTGGTCTCTATGGCCATTGGTACACTCACATACATGCAGGCAAAACAGTCATACACATAAAATTAAAGGAACTATACACTGGGCCCTATTGATAAAACGCTGTAGAGACTGATATCTGATAGTCAACTTTTATTATCACAGGAAGTTAATTAGCAGTTGGTTCCCTTGAACTAGGGGATGGTTGGTTTCATGTTGTTAGGATTGGCTTTTCAGATTTTGTCCTTAAGCTTAGGCAAGTTCAAACTCATGGTCCCAGTTTCCTATTCCTAGCCTGAATTATTTTGCGGGTGTCAGTGGGAAATTGAGGGGGATTTTTGTTTTGTTTTCTCTTGAAAAGAAGGTCTCACTAACTAGTGCAAACTGGCCTTGAACTCTGTGGCCCAGGCTGGCCTGGAACTGTTGATCCTGCTGCCTCGGCCTCCCAAGTGCTGGGATTTTAGGCATGTACCACGATGCCTAGCTAAGCTCTCTCACTGAATAGAACTCACCCTCTAAACTTTGTCTTCTGGACAACAGGCAGCCCCAGAAATATATGCTGAGCTGTTTTGGTCTTCCAGCTGCTACCAGACCCCCTTCCTTGGGCAGATAGCCTCTGAGGGGTCAGCCAAGGATTTGAAGGGGTTTACATGTAGATTTCTGAGGCCTATACTCTATGGCTGCCTCCTCCTTAGGGTCCCCCTGTCAATTTTCATCTTCTGTGGTGGTCCTGAACTGTCACGTCTAGCTGGAGAGATCTCAGCCTTCCTCTGGAGCTCTGCCTGCTCCACGCTGCACGCACGGGGCAGTGGTCACAGAGGGAGCTTTACAGCAGGACCAACCCTGCCTGGCTTCCTTCTTTCAAGAGTTGATTCCTCCCAGCTTCTGCCTGTCTTGGTTATTTTCTTATACTTTCATTGGTTTTCTGAAATCTGTTGCCCAGAGTTTGTTTTTCTCTCTAGACGGTAGTAGTTCTAGCCAAACTATTCCACTCTGGACTTAAGTGAGATAGTGCTATTATTATTGTGTGTATATGATAGGGACATGTGAACGCCACGTTGTACATGTGGAAGTCAGAGGACTCTGTAAGCGCCGGCGTCCCCCTCCCAGTTTTATGTGGATTCTAGGTAGCAAATTCAAGCTGCTAGGCTTCACAGCAAGTGCTTTTACCACTGAGCCATCTTCTTGGCCTTTTTGAAAGATTTATTTTTATGATTTTAAATTATGTATATGTATGTAATGTGCCTGCATGTGGGTGTGTGCGCAGATGTTTGAGAGTCCAGGATAGGGCATTGGATCCCCAGGTGCTAGAGTTGTAGATGGTTGTGAACTACCTGATGTGGGTGCTGGGAACCAAACTCAAGTCCTCTGTAGAGCAGTATGCACATTTAACTGCTGAGCCATCTCATGTAACTCAGATTGGTCTCAAATTCACTTTGTAATCAAGCTTGGCTTTGAACTCCTGATCCTCCTGTCTCTACCTCCCAAGTTCTAGGATTCAAGGCACACACCGCCATGCCTAGTTTGGTTTATTTTATTTTTAGGAGTCACTCCCAACCTTTGCTTGATTGACTGTCAAAGCTCTTATCACTTCAGGCGTTCCTTTCTGATGATGAACAGTCAATTTCTAGTGCATTCCAGACAATAATGGTAATTCCTGGTCTCTGCTGAATAACCTGAATCCGGTCATAGGAGAAAACACACTATTGGAGGTGCCACGTCCAGTGTGGTGGCTGGGTGGTGGTGGACACATAAGAGGGACAGCACTGTATAACATAATACTGTAAGACACTTAAACGTTAAAGAAAGCTGGTCCCCAGGAGGCTCTCTGTCCATAGAACAGAGGCCCCACATCTGTAACTTCTCAAGTTTTTATTAGCATGGATAAGGTGCTCTAAGCAGACATTCAGGAAAAAAGGTATGCAGATCAAAGGACATTTCTCTGCAAGGGCTCAGGAAACCACAACAAAGCGTGGCTTATTTACAGGGTACACAGCAGATGTTCAGAAAATGGTGTGAATAAGATATAAGTCCTTATCTAAACACAGAGGACTTACACTTCAGAACCTGTGGCACTTCAGACCCTCTGGCTTTGCCTTCATAGGCATTCTTGGCTGGTGATGACTTTGAATGTATACCAAGTATGTTTTCAGCAGAGTTCAGACAGGGCAGTGGTCTCCAACATGGCGGTTTTTGGATCTATTGAAGACTCTAGGGTCTACTCATTCTTGGTAGGTCCAGTTTCATTCCTAGGCTGATTGGACCAGAAAGCTGTGTCCACAGGGAGCTAGCTTTGGCCCCTATAGATTGGCTTTTGCTGACTTACACTGTGGCATTGTGCTGCCGTCTTGAGGTGAGAGGATGTCACAGCTGGACCCTTGTAATCCACGTAAGAATGCCATTGCACACCTGTCATCCCAGCACTTGGGAGGCTGAGACTGGAGGATCAAGAGTTTGAGTCCAGCCTAGGATACAGAGTGAAACCCTATCTCTCCCCCACCAAATAGTATAGTGCAGTCCACGAGACAGAGTTCCCTGTAGGAGGAGATACTGGAAAAACTTCTCAGACCTCAATGCCAGGAAAAAAACCTCCACTCTCCCAAGCAATTCATGTTTCTAGCTTACCAGTGCTTTGTCACTAACATGACCAGAGGCAGACTGCTACATTTGCAAAGCCTTTGCCTAATTCCTTTTGTTTATTCAATTACATCTGTTTCTGCCAGACACCTTAACTGCTTTTTGCATAGAAAGAGAGGAACAGCCCTTGGAATCATTAGGAGACAAAATGCTGCTCTTCCTCCAAAACTTTTTGCCATTCCTTTTTTTGTTTGTTTTTGTCCTTGAGACAGGGTCTCTCTATAGCCCTCTTGGCCTGGAACTGCTATGTAGGCCAGGCTGCCTCAGTCTCACAGAGATCCACCTGCCTCTGTCTCCCGAGTGCTGGGACTAAAGACATGGGCCAACATACCCAAGCATGATAGCCAGAGTCTTATTCATAAAAATATTTTCTTCAACTCACAGTAAAATCAACCATCTTAACCTCCACTGAATTAAAAAATTGGTATTTGAAAAAATCAGTGTTCAAAATATCAGATTTAGGGGCCGGTGACACGGCTCAGTGGCCGAAATCCCTAGCCACATAAACCTAACATAAATTTAATCCCTGGAACCCATGGTGACAAGAAAGAACTGACTCCTGAAAATTGGCCTCTGACCCCAACCGACAACACCATGCCATATTCACTCCTAGACAACACACATACAACATAAATAAGTATATAAATAAATAATAAATAAATGTAATTTTAGAAATTGAAACAAAAATAAACATCAGATTTAGGGGCTGGTGAGATGGCTCAGTGGGTAAAGGCTCTTTTACTTTTGAGACAGGGTCTCACTATGTAGCCCTGACTGGCCTTGAACTCACAGAGATTCACCTGCCTCCACCTTCTGAGTACTGGGACTGAAGACATGTGCCGCCACACCTGGCTGGGTAAAAGTTCTTGATGCACAAACCTGGTAACTTGAATTCAACCCTCAGAACACACATAGCTGTTCAAGGAGAGAACCAACTCCGCAAAGTTGTCCCCTCTGTTCTCCACATGTGCATCATGGCATGAGCCCCATCACACACACACATCCAAATAACAAATTTTAAAAAAAATTTAAAAAGCCAGCTGGGCATGGTGGCATGCCTTTAATCCCAGCATTCAGGAGGCAGAAGCAAGTGGATCTCTGTGAGATCGAGGCCAGCCTGGTCCACATAGTGAGTTCCAGGCCAATTGGGGCTGCAGGGAGGCCCTGTCTCAAAAAGACAAAAAGAAAAAATAAGCCACATCAGATTTACTCTCAAAGGGCAGAGATTAAAGATATTTGAACAAAATGTTCTCTTGGCTCTGACAGCAAGTCCAGGAAGTAGCCCCCATCAGTGTGGACAGAGGATCATCCCTAGGAGAGAATTGAAGTTCAAGGTAATTTCTTTGACACAGAGCAATCATTTGAATTTTCAAAGGCTGGCTTTTTTTTAACTTATAATCAATCACAGTTGTCTTCTTTTACAGTTCTGAAGATTGGGTTTAATGGGGTATTTTTGGTCATCCTTCCTGTAGGTGGAGCCAAAGCTTGTGATGGGAGTGTGGGGCCTGAGCAGCACCACACGCTTCCTCTTATTTTCAACCTAGAAGAAGATATTGCTGAAGGTACACCTCTCCCTAGAGGAAGCTTGGAATACCAGGCCGTGTTGCGGAAGGTCAGGAGGGTTCTTGCAGATGTCCTTCAAGACATTGCCAGTGACAACACCTCCCGAGCAGACTATACTCAGGATCCTTCAGTGACTCCCTGCTGTAACCCCTACCAAATTGCCTGCCGCTGCCAATAGGCGTGACAAGCCAGTTTTCCCATGAGGAGGGCTCTCTGGAAATTAGACTGGTAGGTTCACTTCCAATCGGTTTGGATGTCAACATAAGCTTTAAAAGGAAGTCTCAGGGCCAGGTGTGTTGACGCACACCTTTAATCCCAGCACTTGGGAGGCAGAGGCAGGTAGATCCCTGTGAGTTCAAGGCCAGCCTGGTCTACATAGTGAGTTCCATGACAGCTGGGGCTACAGGGAGACCCTGTCTCAGAAAGACCAAAAAAAAAAAAAGGAAGTCTCAGAAGTTAGCCTGGGAACCACCCCAGCGCCATCCTGTGCCTCTCCCCTGTGCATGTTCTTCTCCACGACGGCCTGAGAGTTCACAGTGTGATCAAACACTAGGTTCTGAGCCTGGGCAGTGTAATCTCACTTTCAAGTTGATTTTGAAGGTTAAATAAAGTAACACATGACAATGCCATGGGTATCACCTGACATGGAGCAGATAGTTAATATGTTTCAGTTTCCTTCTCAGATCCACCCCCGACCCCTACACACACACACACACACACACACACACACACACACACACCGTTTCACTGGTCATTTTAGCACAGGTTCCTTCCAGCCAGTATATAGAGTAGGGGTTTTCCATGTTCAGTGTATGTACAGGTCACTGTGATCTGGCTCAGAGGATGACAGGAGCCTGGCAGATTCCTTCAAGATACTTTGAGCAGCACAGAGCTAGACCAAGGTTAGGTCTTCCTAGGCCCTAGAGCAGAAGTCTATGGTTGAGCCCTGGGCCCTTCCCATTTCTTAAAGTCAAATGCATGTACTGTAAAGATTTAGGAGTTCTTCCTGGCCCCTAGAACTCCCAAGGGGGAAAAAAACAAAACAAAACAAAACAAAAACCGTAAACAACTCACAAATGTGTTGCCATAATTTTATTTAATTAGTGTCCTGAATGGGACTCCAAAGGTAATAAATGATTTATTCTAATCACTGCAAAAATACTTTGCCTGGCTAAAATAGTCTCTCTCTACATGTTTGTAATATACAAGAAATACAGTTCCAAGAGGTTTCCAGATAAGAACATTTTTACACACATACATCTGACAAGGACGCCCCTTTTAATATAAAATCCCGGTTATATACCAATATGGTTAGTTAGCATTTACACTGTGGTTTGAAGGCGATGTCCTCACCCATTGGCAGCCAAGGCTGAGGGGGCTGGTGAGAGGGTAACCCCATCCTGTGGCTCAGGCGGCGAGGCGCCCTAAGGTGGGGTTCCTGCCTCCCTCTCTGCTCACATTTGCATTCCGGTCTTCCACCTTGTTTTCTCCAAAACCACCTGACAGGGGATGTCCTGATTTCTGAGGTGCGCTTCTGGTCAGGACTGCTTCGATTTGCCCTTCTGACTTCCACGGCATAAGATTATCTACCGAAATCAAAACAGAACAGCCTTACTTCTTCTCTCAGGAAGAGGCTGGGGGAGGGGTAGGCTGTATTACCCATGGGTCTGTGCCATGTGGGTAAGCAGGGGAGGCTGGGTGCTACAGGAATTTTACATATGACCACAGGCTGACCCTACTCACGGCCACATAAAGCCCACCCACCTTATGTAGATGCAGGCGATTACGACACAGGCTCCAACAATACTGACCATATAAACTGTGTGCATACATGTGTATGTTCATGTTTAAAAGGGCTCATTTTACCTGTGAACATGGAATGCTAAATGGCTGCAAAAAAGTCAGCATATGTCCTTGGTCCGGTTTGCTGTACTCCTGCTTGCAATGTTAAGATTAGTGTCAGAGAATACACAGACTTCTATGCTAGCTTGTTACTGAGGCAAAAGCTGCTCGTCCTCCCGAAAGCCTCTTCAAAAGGCACCAGAAATGAGCTTGCTTTTTCTCTCATTGGTCTTGAGGCAAAGTCAGACCCAAGGAGGAAAGTGATAAAGGGACAGTGCTAGTCTGTGTTACAAAGGAAGCTAATGACGACCCATGGTCTTAAGGCAGAGGCCGAGGGCCTGGGTGCGGACTCCACCAGTGAGCCTGATGTTCCTATCCAAAAGGGACGTGATTTCAGCTAAGCTGAGATTTCCAGGACCTTTTTGCAGCCTCAGAAGCTTTTAAAGAATTGTGAGTAAAGATAGAGATTGTGGGAAAATATCTGCAACAGGCATATAATTCAGAATAAGGGGGTGTCTAGCAACCCCAGTTGAATACTTAGGCTACTCAGAGTGACTGAGACAGCTGCGCTGAGGGGCAAACCAGCAGCATTCACCCCTCTGGCCCTCGGGAGTTAAGATGGAGAAGCCTTTCTGCTACTGACCCAGGACCTCAGTGGAAGTGCTGGCTCCTCTTCCCCATCCGCTGCAGGCGTGGACAGGCTGGCCTGTCTACCAGACATCGGGTGACCACCGTGATGTCTATCTAGCACCTGCCCCTCACCCACAGGTTACCTGACATTAGTTGAACTCTAACAGTTCTAGGAATTTGTCCAGTGACCAGCATCCAGGCAGGAAGCGTTTCTTGTGTATAAATAATCTTTTTTTGACAAGGCTGGGGAGTGAACCCACGCTTCTTGCAAACTTGGCAAGTGCTGTACCACTGAGCTACATCCTTACCCCAAACAAAGATTCTGAATGCAGTTTCAATCACTCACTCATTTGCTCCTTAAGAGGGAAATGGATAATGGGTTTGTACTAGACTTCTGGCAGTATTTAACTAAACATGCCTTATGACGAGGGTATGTGTGTGATGCTACGGACGGAATTCAGAGCCTCTCACATGCTAGGCAAATTTCTACCACTCACCCACACTTGGGAACACTAGTTTTTACACTAAGCATCTCTAACTCTTCCCTCCTCACAGGCAAAAGGTTCACCTAGGGTGCCTATACTGTGTACAGGTTTTCTCTGGCAAGGGACCTCCTCCTCATGCCAACATTTAAATCACCCAATTCTGTAAACATAAGAGGTTGCAAGGTCTCCCGCGGCAACAGTGACGAATAATTCAGCTCAGACTTCTACCAAAACTGCTAAAACGTATGACCTTAGATAGAGCACTGGTCATATTTGTCCCCACTGTGTCTGGGTCTCAGAAGATGTAATGTCAGTTAAATAACTACCAACTTTCAGAGAGACAGAAAAATCTCCCTTTAGTTCTGCTTGGCACCATAGGAGCATAAAGGCACCGCTTAGGCAGCAACTGTTAGGCAACAGGCCAAGGGATGTCTTAAAATGTGTAATTAGTTTTTTTTTTTTTTAAGAACTACTCTCCGCCACTAATACAGAAGTGTCATTTGCTGACAATGTATTTGGCAACTTGCCTATTAAAGGCCAAAAATGTAAATTTCAAGCTGTAACCCACAAAGCCAGCATGGGTGTCATGGACACCCCGTTCTCACACACAAAGGCCTGAGGGCACCAACCTCCTCAGTGCTGCAGGAACACGGCCCTCTGCACTCAAAGTCCTGACATGACACTGTGCCCACCTGAAATGATGTCAAGCTATCTGGTTTTTTTTTTCAATTTTGAGACATGGTCTCATATAGCCCAGGCTGGCCTTGAGCTCACTATGTACTGTGCGGTAGCTCTGCCTCCACCTCCCTGGTGCTGGAATCACAGGTGTGCACCACCACACACAACTTGATGTGCTGCTGGGGACTGAACCCAGAGCTCTATGGATGCTAGGCAAGCACTTGCCAACTGGGCTACATCCCCAGGCCCCAGGATGTAGGATGTAGAGGTGCACGTTGCTTCAAAAGGAAGGCGTACCACTATGGAGGCCCTGGCAGACTCCCCTGGGAGAGACTCCTCCAGATGTTGGAAGAAGCCAAGCCCAATGCTCAGCCACCCCTGGGGCCCTCACTGCCAGCACAGCTGCAGCAGAATGGGCAAGCCTTGCCAAAGGTGCCCAGGAGAGCTCATGTGCAACTGCTCTGGCTTCTGCATATGGTTTCTTAATGTGTGCCTGCAGTTGCTGGAGAGGCTTGGGTCTGCAACACCAGAGCTATAGCCAGGGTGCAGGTCAGTTCCTGCAGCCAGTTCTGAATCCCAGATGCAGCCTAGCCCCAGTAGCTCATCATGCCCAATAACAGGAACATTCTATAAAAGCGACCTTGTGAGCGTCAGAAAACCAGACGTTTACACAGGCAGAAGCTCTGTCTTCACAAGCAGCGAAGGCAGGATACAGAGACAAAGGGACGGACGCCAGGTCTCTGGTGACTAAGCTACCCACACTCCCGGGTTAGTATTCAGTTACTGTAACGCTGGCAACCTTCAGCATGAAACCTAACAGCTGCCTACAGGATCTGAAGCCCACACAACAGGTATCCTATGGCTGTGCATTTTAGAGAAGAGGATTAGTGGTTAGGGGCTAGAGCACAGGGACAGTGACTTCGCCTCTTGCGGGAGGCAAAGCTTCCTTCCAGGCAGACACGCGAAGCACAGCTGCTCTGTTAAGGATCCCGAATGCTCACAGGGGGAAACTCATTCTCGTCGTCAAGACACACTGGTCCCGTGGCAAACTCGTGTTCCGGAATCACCTCTCCTCGGAGCGCCCCGCCGTCCTCAGAGTAACCTGGAGGCCCAGAGTGAGAGAGGGGACATGATGCACAGGTGGGTTCTGCCTCCATGATGAGTGCTAGAGGGGGCAGTCTGAGAAGAGGGAGGATGGGGAAAACAGGTGCATCTCTGCCAGCTGAATGGGGCACAGCTTCAGAAGGTGAGTCTAAATCCTCCCAGGTTCTAGTCCCTGAGCCTTGAGAGAGAGGCAGGTCTCGCCTACCTTCCATCTGAAATTCCAACTCTTTGGAATTCTCCACGAGGCAAAGGCTTATCACTACTTGTTACGAAAACCCCTCGTGCTACACACCAGCATTAGGGACCCGAGGTTGAAGGCTATTGCCGGCCTCTCAACGCTCATCCCAAGAGAATGGTGCAGAGCCAGGCGGTACTGCTGGAGGGGCCCCTCAGCCGCTCACCCGGCACAGTGGATGCCACAGATGTGCTGGGCCTTGCTACAGTTGCTGCGTAAGACTGAGGTATGGAGGGTCCGAGGTCGTTTTCTTTGTTCTCTTCTGTTGTTCCGGAGCCAAGCAAGCTACGTGCAGCAATTAAGAGAAGGGAAGATAAAAGAAATCAGCACATATCCAGAACACCTTCAAAAGGAAAAGAACGGGAGGCTCATGTTCAGCTACTTGGTGAATGACAGACCTGCCAGTACACCGTTAGGCCAGCATGAACGCAAGTAGGTCAGTCGTGCACCTCTACCGTGACCAGTCCTTCCTGAGTAAGCAATGACCTGCCCTCTGCTCTTCTGGTAGGTTCAAGCAAGGATGTCAAGACATGCTAACAAGGTCAGACATCACGAGTGAGGGTTTGGTGGCAGCTCACCATGTCCTGTTCACAGCAGAACACGAGGTCAGCCTGTATTTGTCACAGAAATTTGGAGGCTTTTCAATCTGATTCTGTGAACATTTCTGAATATTCACTGTGTTTTGAGGGCTGTGCTGGGCGGACAGGCTGAGCAGGGGGACATTCCATTTGGAGTATTATGTATCTATCCAGGCACTGTCCTGAAGGGGACAGCAGGCTCAAGATACATGACAAGGAGGCTGACCCAAGCAAAAGATGGCCAGGGGGCTTGCCACCAAGACTCCCAGGAGGGAAACACCACAGGAAGACCACCAGAGCGGGTCACTGTCCCCGGAGCCATGACAGCTGTCCTTAGCTGTTCATGAACAGCTGTTCTTTGACAACTAGAATCTTCACCTGTGGGTTTTGATTAAGACACATTCGCCTCCATCCTGTGGGTCCAGATTGTAGATGTAAAGGTGTCCATCAGAGGAGGCTACTAGCAGCCGTGGCAATTTCTGGATCCTAAGAGACAAATGAAACATGATATGTGAGTGACAGGCTGGTGCCAGCTGTCAATGCCTTGCCCCCCATTACAGGCTCTTCTCCTGCCCCTTGAAACCCCTCAGCCCACTGAGCCAGAGTTGGAGCTTCTGGCCACGCCTTTCTATTCTGACCCGAGCATCCACTTTCAGGATCACTTCTGCTTTTTGAACAAGCTTGTATGGGATGGGGCAAAGGCCATAGAGGTAGGCATTATTAACCCTGTGAAAGGCTACTGCTGTCTTACTGGTGTCCCTAGAGAGGATTTGTTCTCCATCTCACATGTGTTGTTGCCTTTAACAGTGATGGAAAGAGGAAAAGAATACCACTATCTTGTCATCTTTGCTAGCTAGGGTTACAAACGTGTGCACGTGTGAGTGCACGTTTGCACATGTGCATGCATGGGGAGGTCAGAGGTCAACCTGAATTGTTGTTTCTCAGGTCCTGCCCACCTTTCTTTTGAGACAGTCCCTCACTAGTCTGAGACTCACTGAATAGGCTAGACTGGCTGGTCAGAGAGTCCCTGGGCTCCACCTTCCCAGTGCTGGGATTACACACACATACCTCCGCATCCAGCTTCTTTATGTGGGGTCTGGGGCTCAAACTCAGATCCTTTTGTTTCCAGGGCAAGCGACTTACTGAGCCATCTCTCAAACCCCCCAAACCTTCTTTGTGTTCTGTTTAGACAGAGTCTTTTTACATAGTCTGGGCTGAAACCTGCAGATGTGCTGTCTTAGCCTCCCAGTGCTGGGTTACAGATGCACATCACCACGCCTGGCTCAATTTATGGCATTTTTTTGTCGCAGTTCTTTAATAGATGCTCCTAAACTTCTTAAATAAGATGCCAGTCATCCCCATAGGTGTCTGGTTCCAGGCAATGGAGCCGGGGGTGGAGCTTTTGCCATATAAAAAGAGGGACTGGCCGGGCATGGTGGTGCTCACCTGTAGTCTCAGCACTTGGGAGGCAGAGGCAGGTGGATCTCTTGAGTTCAAGGCCAGCCTGGTCTACATAGTGAGTTCCAGGTCAGCTGGGGCTATAGGGAGACCCTGTCTCAAAAAGACCAAAAACAAAAAACAAAACAAACAAACAAAAAAAGCAACAAAGGAAACGGACTGTTTAACAACACAGAGCAGCAGTGTCACTGGAACCTGAAGGTCAATATTCTCATGCCAGCTCCCAGCTACTCCTGAGAATCCATATTAAAACCAGCAGATGGAGGCAGAGGCAGACAGATCTCTGTGAGATCGAGGCCAGCCGGGTCTATATAGCAAGTTCTAGGCCATCTGGAGCTACCAGGAGAACCTGTCTCAAAAAGAACTAAACGTCTGTAAGTGTGAGTTTGGTGTGGGTGGGTGGCACTGTACATACGTGGAGAGTGTGCAGATGTTCTTCTGCCCGGAGAAGCTCAAGCGTCCAGTGGCGAAAGCTCTGTCCTGATTCATCATGTCCGACACCTGGGCGGGGAGGTAGTTGGTAGCGGCCATGAACATCTTTCCCATGTAGCCACTCCACGTGGAAGGCTCTTCTGGGTGGCTGGCGGGGTGGGGGGCAATGTAAAGGCAAGGATGGGCCTGAGCTGTGGACACTGGCACCTTGCCAGTGATCGCCACAGCCCAGTGCTCACCTCAGTAGGCAGAGGTTGCGTCTGAGCACAATGTTCTGGCCACCAGGACACATTATTCCAGCCACAACAAAAGAACATCAGGGCCTGTGTGTCTTGCAGAAAAGCCATTGTTAGGAGGTTCCCTGTGCTATGGCTTTCTTATATTAAAAGTGTGTTTCTGATGATGACTCTGATTCCTAGATTTGCAAAAGAGGGCAAGGGTAGACACCGTAAAGCAAGCACACAAGCTTTCAAGGGCTTCAGGGAACAGACAGAGCTCTGTGAAGGTTTCCTGGGCCAGACTGAACAGGAAGCAGGCCTGGCCAAGGCACTCCGGATAGTCTCATTATAGCTCTCCAGTCACCTGGTACCCAGCACAGGTAATGCCCACGTGTTCCATGGGAACCTGGTAGGTCCCCTGCAGTCATTAAACTTCATCCCAAGGCCTCCAGCAGACAGACGGGAAGGCTCACTAGCCTCTAGGGGTAAACAAAACTTCACGGGTCTGGGAAAGAGGAAACCTGAGATTCTCAAAGGCCTTTCCTCTGTTTTAAAGAAGCAGTAAACTGCTGGAGGACTGAGGGGAGACTCTAGGAGGATTCAGGTTCTGCCCCATGTCACCTGTGGCCACCCCCCGCACCCCCCAACCTTTGCCACACACAGAGCTGGGAGAGGGTGCAGGGTTTCCTATCCTAAGCACAGATAACTGACCCAGAAGGGGACAGGGCTGAGGCTGAAGCAGAGGCTTGGGAGCACTGACTTGCTTATGATAAACACCTTGGGATGGAAGGGTGGGCTGCCCTCTAGGGCTCAGGCTCCTACCACAGGTGAAAGTTTCACAAGCCTTTAGGGCTAAGTTTTGGCAGCTGTCTCGGAAGGGACAGAAAAGTTTAGAAAGTAGATACACTCTCCAATGAAAGTGCAGCATAAGAATCTTATATTTAACTTAAAAATGTTCCCAGACAGGCTCATATTTTGAAGACTTTTCCCTGATGGTGGTACTGTTTTGTAGGTGGTGGAGGTGGGGCTTGGGCTGTGGGGATAGACCTTTGAAGGTTCCATCAGTCCCCAGTTCCAGCCTGCTCATCCTGCTTCCTGGTCTGCAGCACCATGAAGAGCTCCCTCCATGTCCGTCTGCCTTCATAAACCCTGCTGTTGTTTCCCCACTATGATGGTCTGAAATCCTCTGAGACAGGGAGCCGAACAAACCTTCCCTCCCTTAAGCTGTCTGTCAGGTACTACAGTCACAGGAATGTGAAAGTCACTAATGCAAAGAAGTTCAGGGACTCCCTCCACAGGACAGGAGATGGAAGGTGTGCTGGATGGCTTTAGTTGTCACCTTGAACACTCGGGTAGAGGGAACTTCAGTTGGGGAATGGCCTCCATTGGACTGGCCTGTGGCCATGTCTACGGAGTATTTTCTTGATTGTTGAGTGATGTGGGAGGGCCCAGCCCACTGTGGGTGGTGCCACCCCAGGGTAGGTGGGCCTGTGTTATATAAGAAAGCAGGCTGAGCAGGGGCCAGGGGAGCAAGCCAGTAAGCAGCGTTCCTCCATGGCCTGTGCTCCAGCTCCTGCCTCCAGGAGCCTGCCCTGAGTTCCTACCTTGGGCTCCCTCAGTGATGAACTGTGACCTGGGAGATGTAAGCTGAATAAACCCTTTCCTCCCCAAGTTGGTCAGTGTTTTGTCACAGCAATTGAAAACAAACTAGAAAACAGAAGGGTCCCAGATAGACTGAATTGAGGGTGGGAAGCAGCACCAACAGGATGAGGACTCCAGGGAATGAGGTGTCATAGCACAATGCTACACAGAGCACAGGCAGGATCTGCACTGAGAACCTACAGCATCGAGTGAAGTGGTTGTTTGCTGAGACCTGGGACGGGCTGTGGAACGGGGAGCGGGGAAACACATGACACCACTGCACAGCAGTACATGACAGAGGCTGGGCGCCAGCTCACCAAAGCTGCACCCTGGAGCTTTCTGCACAACTTGCAGGTAGGAGAAATATTTTCTTTTAGAAGGCCTATCCCACGAGGAGGGGAAAGTCTTCCAATCACAGCAGAGGTACAGTGATGAATCCCTGCCCAGGAGTATGCACGTTGGACTCTCCTTAGCGTGGTCTCCAGACTTCCCACTCTGGAGGCTTCACAGTAGCCTGGTGGGGTGTAAAGTCTGGTATTTTTTGTGGATCCTGGAGACAGAGGCTGGCTTGGGGCAGGACAATGGACTTCTCATAACCTCAGTTTTCCTCAGGCATCCAACTCCTCCTCTGCCTGCCTTCAAGAAATACTGTGGGGCCAGGGGAGAAAGCATGGAAAATGCTCCGTAACCTACAGATGCTGTGGATGTATAAATGTCACCATGGCCATCAACTCCACCATGAACCTTCAGAGTACCACTGAGAAAAATCGTTAAAATGTCACATTTCAGTTTCCTACAACTACACCCAGAAGAAGTGATGTGTATCTGAGCATGGTAGCACATACTTTTAATCTCAACACATGGGAGGCAGAGGCAGGCAGACCTCTGTGAGATCAAGGCTAGCCTGGTCTACATATACATAGTAAGTTCCAGGCCACCTGGAGCTACAGGGAAACCTTGTCTCAAAAAACAGAACAACAACAACAAAATAACAAAAAAAAGAAAGAAAGAAAGAAAGAAAGAAAGAAAGAAAGAAAGAAAGAAAGAAAGAAAGAAAGAAAGAAAGAGAAAGAAAGAAAGAAAAGAGAGACACAGGGCATCTGAAGCCCCCAGGGGAAAAGCACAAGCTGTCTTCTGCGCTATCAGAATGAGGTCTGAACCACTTTGAGATGAGGGCTAGGCCAAGGGATATAGCTATGGATGGTGACTGAGAAGGAGGATTCTTTCCATTGTAAACATCTTCAAGAGCGAACATGGTCACACATTTAGCCCATACTTAATGAACACTTGTGTCCAACCTAATAGCAGGCAGGATTTGTAGAAAGACTTTCCAAGCTGCCCTGCCCTGGTCCCTGGAACTTACAATGGTAATGACGTATCAGTCCTTTTCAGTACTACATCTTGGGCCCAGGTAACCTTAGGCAGATTATCCAGGTGGTTTGATCCAACCACATACACCATTAAAAGATGAGAACATGCCAGGCATGGTGGTGAGTGCCTGCAGTCCTGACTACTCAGAAGGCTGAGGCAGGAGGATTGCTTTAGTATGGGCATTTGAGGCAATATGGGCAACGCAGTGAGACCTCTTTAAGGAGTCAGGGTATAGCTCAGTGGTAGAATGCTTGCCTAGCATGTATGAGGTCCTGCATTCAAGTCTCTCTGATTGGTTGATAGAAAAGAAAGGCAGATGATTAAGTCATGAGAAGGATGCGTTGCTGGCTTCCAGCTCGAAGGCTGTGTTGAGAAGGACTGTGGTGGCCTGTCTTAGAGAGGCTCCCAGGGACAGCCAGCAAGGAAGCAGGGACCCCCACTACCACCTTCTAAAGGACCTGCTGGTAATTGGAATCAGTGTGAAAGAGGCATTGAGCTACAGGGGGAATGCAGATGGTACTCAGGTCACTACTGTGACTTCAGGGACCCTGAGCAGAGGCTTTAGGCACACCATCCTGGGCTTCTTACCTCAGAACTGTGAGCTCATCCATGTGTGCTGTTGAAGCCACTAAGTTTGTGGCCATTTGTTACATAACCAACAGGAAACCAGTACACACACCAATGACTGCCATAGGATCACCATAGGAGCACCATAGGAGCGCGTAGGAACACCATAGGAACACCATAGGAGCACGTAGGAGCACCATAGGAGCTCATACTCCATAGGGTCATCCCTCTGACAGCCACAGTTGCCTTTAGGGGCACTGAATGTGTTTGTCAAGTACTCACTAGTGGTGGCAGTGGGACACGAAATACACTGTTACTCTAGTTTATGTGCACTGGTATTAAGTACATGCCATGCACTACATGAAATGCTTCATATCATCAGCAAGCTCATTTAATTCTCACAACAAGCCTAATGTGGAACACTATTATTATGCTTGTTTTACAGGTGAGGAAACTAAAATTCAGATTAAACGAGCTTTCCAGCATCTCACAGCTAGCTGTAAAGGGACTGAGTTGGGATGTAAACTCCAGATTGTAGACCCATATTTTGAGCCTTTGCAGGATACCCCAAACCTTCCGCTAACATACACTCAGCACATTGGTGTTGATGCAACAGTAAGGTCACATTTAAAAAGAAAACCGCCCATTTTGGAAGAATGACCGGGTCTGCCTGCACCTGGTGCTGCACTTGCCTGGTAGTGAGGTGCTCCAGCTTGAAGATGTGCACAGTTTCCGTATTGCTGGAGGCACACAGGAACTGTGAGTCCATGCTGAAAACTAGAGAGCTGATGGTCACGTACCTAGAGACAGCAACACAACAGACAGTAAGCCAGAGCAGCCAGGGCCGTCGCCTTCTAGTGCTAAGACCAGGTGTACGAGGTGTGAAAGCGTAGCCTGAAGAGCCAAGCTAAGATCCCTCCGACACTGCATTACTCAGACCAAAAGCAAGTCAGGAGTCATGGAGGACCATGATCTCAGGTACGAACACACACAGCAGGCCCTTCCTCCCAGCCGTCTTTGCATCATGACCATCTTTCAGCTGCTTTGATCCAATCCACCTGAAACCTCTACAGCCAATAAGATCCCAAACACAACATTTTACAACAGCACTTTATTTCCATCCATGAAAGGAATGGGAAATTGTGGACTGTGATTTGCTGGCTGTCTGATTTCTCCTGTGCTGGCCTCCTGTGAACATATCAAAAGTTGCTGACTGCTGGACTCCTGCACGAAAATAGCTTCCCTGCTTCCAGTTCTACTGAGACCTGGGTGGGGCCCGAGTCAATTACCCGAGAAAGCACAGTAATGTTTCCTCTATGAGAGGAGGCCACGGAGCCAGTCTCTGTCCGCTTCTTAGATGGCTGTCCACTGGCTGCACAGGACTTTGGTGGGGAGTTTTAAAGTGGGTCTGACCTGGAACACATACCTTTTCATTCCTCGCCGAAACTCATAGAGCTTTTGCCCTTCAGGCACAGAGAACACCCGGATGACGGTGCCCTGGAAAAGAAAGCAGGTGAGCATTTCTCAACCGTGAATGGAAACACACATGTCCCTTTCCAGGAAATTTGTTTAATTGGTTTCACACATCTGCCTCTGAAGAGGAAGTACAAAGCACTAGGCAAAGAGGCATTTTTATTTGTTATATACCAGGTAAGCACTTCTTGGACCATGTGTTCGGTATTGTCTCCCCATCCTTGCCCAAGGCTCTCTCTCTGTGTATACATGTATATATGTATGTGTGTATATGTGCCTTCCCAAACTGCTCTGGCTTTCTAAAATATTCTCTCTCTCTGGTTATCAAAATACATCTGCTTTGCATGGCAGTTGAAAGTCAACTTGATCACCTTCCTGATTATTCTGGTCAAAAGGGATCGATGTCTCTAGATAAACAGGCATTTATAAAATGTAGACTCTATTCATATCTGTGGATGATAGGCATATACATTTCTCAATAAGACCACAAGTTTTTATACTGATCATTTTGTGTCTTACAGAGTGTTGGCCTTAAATCTGATAAATCCATTGACAGACCACAACACACAGGGGCCAGAGATTCTCACTCTGGAAAGAATTCTGAGCATGCCCAGAGACTAGTCAGTCTTCACGTCACCAGCACTGTTCCAGCAGCGATCTGGGCACCTCTGGAGGCATCTAGCAAACCCCTAGACAGGAGAAGATGCCAGAGAGCACTCACTTTCTCGGATGCACTGGCTAGTTTGGAGCCTGAGGAGTTGAAGGTGATGGCGGCCAGCGTTCCCTCATGGGCAGCGATGGTGCACACTGCTTTCTGTTGGGGAAAGGGAAGAAAAGGAGACTGATGCTGGCGAGGAGGGGAGATGGATTTCAGCTTCCTCTCCTTGCTCTTTTCTTCCTTCTCTTCTGCTTGCCAAGCTCCCTTGTCTCCCTGTGCTCCACTAGATTACGTGTGTATAAGTGGACTGTCCTTGGTGCATCAAGCTCTGCTATTAGGGGCTCCCCTTCCTTCCTTCCTTCCTTCCTTCCTTCCTTCCTTCCTTCCTTCCTTCCTTCCTTCCATCCATCCTTCCTTCCTTTTTGGTAAATCAAAGAATTTTATGAGGGCTACTTATAGGAGCCTGGGTGAGACATTATTTACAAGACCATGGGAAACTTGGCAGTGGCTACCCCACTGAAGAAACTGTTTTCCCCTCCCCTAGCAAAGTAATGGGCTGTAGATCCCCAGGGAGGGGCGGACCCTCAGGAGCTCCTTTCCCACGACAGCATGTTGATAGGTCCAGTTTTGTGCAAGTAATCACAGTTCCTGAGATAGGGAGAGTGCACAAGTATGGCACACTGGGAGAGCGCGCTCCGCAACGCTCCGCCCTTTCTGTCTTCCAGGCCTTACATTCTTTCTCTCTCCTCTTCTGCGATGGTCCCTGAGCCTTGGAGAGAGGCTACTCTCATTTCTATCCCTTTCCCTTCTCTGGGAAGGTAGATGACTGCCTGTGTGCTTGATACTGAGTCAGGCTGTCAAGGGTTCCTCCTGCTTGCTTCTTTAGGGGATTTCCCAGAGTGATCCTGTCCTGCCCTACGAAGCCTTGGAGAGCAGAGGGCAGGGTGTGCAGAAGAGCTGTGTGCCATCTCAGACCAGCACAGTGTGGCCTACTGATTACACCCTGCTGCAGGTGTTCTGCAGTGGTCTGACACCTGTCTCACGGGGACTGACTGATAGTGAGCCCCAGTGCAAATATTGTCCCTTCTCCTTCATCCAACTGCTGTGACCAGAGAACTCCCCCCCAACCCCCCCCACTCCCCATCCCCCAACAACAGCCTCCTTATCTCATTCTGTTTACCACAAAGCCAAGGCAGGTGGGCTTGGTGCACCAGGCACCATTGTCAACTTACCAGGGAGTTTCCATCATAAAGCACAATCTCGCCTGAAGTCAGGCTTCCAGGATATGCCAGGTAGGAGTTGGAATGGTTGATAGAGAGGGCACATAGACCTGGCAAAGACAGAGGATGCGTGTCTAGAGTGCCACCTACTGGAGAGGGGAGGAACAGCTTTGAGGTATTCACTTTCTGGGGCCTTAATTTCCAGTTTCTTAAATTGTGGTGTCATGAAAAATCTGGCTACAACAAAAAGTTTCTGAGTGCACAGTGCATAAAAATGAATTCAAAGTGTAATATTTAATGAATCTGAGTGTTTCTGGCAGCACCAGCTAGGACTGCATCACGAAACTTCCCTGCAGCCTTGGTTCTGAACACACAATATGCACACATTGCACTGAACTTAGAACACTAAGAATACTCTTCAAATTTTTTACCCCAAGGCACTGAAACAGCATCTGCGTCTCTTCCAATTCCATTATCCTCCAGGGCTGCAGGAGAATTTACTCTTAACTGGAACAGGGCTTCCCATTAGGAAAGGTCGGTATGTGTTAGCCTTTCTGGGAGCTGGAGGACAGGAGAGGCTCCCCAAAGGACCTCATCTCTGAGCAATGTGCCCTGCTCTGATAAGGGAAACAGGAGCCTCTAGGTGCAGAAGTTCACTGGAAGTCTGCATCTGAGTTAAGGCAGCAAGCTCCACCTTTGTAGAAACTTTGCAGTGGGACATCTCAGATATAAGATACTTCAACAGTCTTCTGGAAGTGTAGGAACACCAGCCAAATTACTGAAGTGACAAAAGCCATTTTTATTTACAATGATATTCCAGGGGCAGTGGGGGGGTGTCCCTGCAGCATTTAAGTGAAGGCTTTTCACAACAATAACTTAGATTAATAGTCATCCATGATAGAACTCCACACAGCTAAACATTACCAGAAAAGGATATTCAAGATTACATGAGCCAGGTGAGGTAGCACATACCTTTGATCTCTGTACTGGGGAGGCAGAGGCAGGTGGATCTCTGTGAGATCAAGACCAACCTGGTCTACATAGTGAGTTTCAGGCCAGTTGGGGCTACACAGAGACCCTGTCTCAATGCCCCCTATCCCCTGCCCAAAATAAAGATTATATGAAAAAAAAATGCTAATCAACATCTTTGCTACAAATTGGTATCTTAAGTAGGTTCTTATAAAAGCACATGAAAAACTAGACCTGGCTGAAAGGCTCCTTACCTGTTGTGTAGGATAGAAGAGGGGAAAAAAAAAGCAATTACAGCTTGGAAAGGTCCTGTTTCCCACTCTGACACTGCTGAGTGTACAGCCAAGTTTGTGCTCTTATCTCTTGCCACACAGAACTACAGGAGGAGGGTGGCCGGGCACTCTTAACTGTAGGTGCTGCACAGCTGTGGCCCCTGCCTGTACATAGCCATGCCTGGCCCTGACTATGCATACCTTCTGCTCTGGGAGCTCCAACTTTCTATCTGAGGTCTCCATAATCCACATGAAATTTCAAGGACAGCTGGTCAGACAGAAGGCACTGTGGCCCCAAGAAATAGGAAAGGAAGTCGATCAGGAGATCGTATGGGTTTACCTGGTGGGTTCCAGCAGGAGCAGTGATGGGAGAGGGGTTGAGATAGAAACTATATATGGACTCGAGGACCAAACTGAAGATTTAAGATCTTACAAATGATGGGGTAACTACAGAGGGTTTCTGAGTACATACATTTGAAAAAAGGCACTGCTAAAATCAAAATGAGGGGCTGGACAGAATGCTTATTATACAAGCATGTGGACCTGAGTGCAGGCATCACTGTGTGCACCTGTGGCCCCAGCATTGTGGGGTTCAGAGACAGGAGGATCCCTGGAGTTTGCTGGCCACCAACCTAGTTCCAGCTTAGGTGAGAGACCCTGTCTCAAGGGAATAAGAAACATCGTGATAGAGCAGGCCACCTGATGTCCTCTTGTACCTTCCCCAACCCCATTTCCTTCCCTAGTGCTGGAAAAATTGGAAGGATGTGTAGGGGGATTAAAATTGGGGCCCTGTGTTGGAAAGCAGCCTGGAAATTCCTCAGAAGTTAAACACAGAGTTATCATATGAGCTAGAAATTTTACTCTCATGTATATACCCCCCAAAAAATAAAAACACATCTTCACTACAACTTGTGTGTAAATAGTTACAGCAACAACATTCATTACAGTCAAAAGGGGAGACACAGGGATGAGGATGGGGTGGAGGGGTAGATTAGCCAAAAGTAAGGATATATGAAAACCCACTACTTTGTACACTAATCTAAAAGAGGTTTTAAAGGAGGAGTTTGAACATAGGTACCCTACATGGGTGAAGAAGGCTTCCCCATCAAGCATGGTTTATCAAATGAAAATCTCACTACCAGGCATGGGGTACCTCCCTATGAGCTATTGGCCAGGGAGGCTTCCAAGACCCCAAAACAATGCAACTATTGCTGTTGCTCTTGGATGCCCTAACTATATGTGGTAAGACCCTGTTACTGAGGTTGCAGGACTTAGAGAAATCAAGCTGGAACTGACATGAAAACTTCCTATTTGCTGTATAGCTTTTATAGTGCCAGAAAGTGCTATGTAGGCTGCCGGGGTTGGAAAGGCATTGATACTATTACCCATCAGTGATCCCTGCAATACTGACCTGCCAGGTAAGCTATGTCTGCTAATGCAATAGTGGCATGGTTATAGGGGTAACCAATTTCTTTCTGATTAGATTTGAGGCCTGCTCCACCAGAGGGAGTTCATGCCTGGCATTGTAAACTTGGTCAAAACCTATGACTTAAGAGATCATAGTCCCTAGAGGGGAACCTACTATTGTTGTCTTGCTAAATGGACATATTGTCAAACTGCCTTCTAAATACTTATGTTTATAACCATAGATGAGTGCTGCTCTCTAACTCGGCCACAGAAGCTTCTGTTTGGGGGAGTCAGCAATCAAGGCAGACTCATAACTGGTCAAATAAGTGACTATTGAGTTTTGAGCCATAACTGGACATCTATATCAAGCCCTCCATCCACCATGGCTCAGGGACCATCTTGGGAGAGGGGGCAGAAAGAATGTAAGAGGCAGAGGATGGGGAGGAGTGCTGGGCAATGGTGTGACTGCTGTACTCATGAATTCACTGTAGCTATGGTTACCTTACAAGACATTTACAAGAGCAAGCCAAGATCAGTCAACCTTCCAACAGTGCACTTCATAGCTGCAGTGCAATGGGGTGGGGAGGGGGCATGAAGGGGGAAAGTGGAGGCAGGAACTGGGGTTAGATATGATTACGATACATTGTTACATATAAGAAACTGTCAAAGAACAAATAAAAGATAGCCTATGGTTTTTTGTTGTTGTTGTTGTTTGGTCTTTTTGAGACAGGGTCTCCCTGTAGCCCCAGCTGTACTAGAACTCACTATGTAGACCAGGCTGGCCTTGAACTCACAGAGATCCACCTGCCTCTGCCTCCCAAGTGCTGGGATTAAAGGCATGCACCGCAACACCCAGCAAGATAGTCTATGTTTTAAAAAGTGGAAACAATTTGTGTGAAACAACTGATCAATGGATACACAGAATGTGGCATGTTCTTATAACAGGCTTGGGTTTTGACAATACGTTTTAACAACAGGAAGCAATAAAGTATGATACATGCTACCACATGGGTGAGCCTTGACAGCACTGTGATGGAAGCCAGTCACACAAGACCACATGAAATGTCCAGCGCAGGTAAATTTATAGCAACAGTAGATCAGGGGCTGCCTAGTAGGAGAATTGGAGGTGACAGCTAAGAGGCACAGGGTGTCTTCTGGGGGCGTTGTAATTAATTAAAATTAATTGTGGGGCTGATGAGATGGCTCAGTGGGTAAAGGTTCTCGCTGCCAAGCGTGACAACCTGAGTTTAATAATTAAGATCCAGATGGTGGAAGTAGACAGCCAACTCCTGAAAGCTGTCCACTGACCTCTACATGTGCGCCATGGTGTGCACGCACACATAAATAAATGTAATCAAAGATTTTAAATTACATTAATAAAATTGTGATGATTATTATACACTTCTAAAAATACTAAAGCTGAATTGTGTGCATTAATTTTTAGTCTTTATGAGTATGTGTGTATGTGTGTGTCACATGTGTATAGGTGCACACTGAAGCCAGAAGAAGGCACTGGGTTCCCTGGAGCTGGAGTTATAGGTGATTGTGAGCCACCTGATGTGGATGCTGGGAACCATACCCCTGGTCATCTGGAAGAGCAGCACATGTTCTTGACTACTGAACCATCTCTCCAGCCCCAAATCATGCATTTTAAATGGGTGGATTCTATGGCATGCGAATGATTGGGGTGGGAGTAGAAATCTTTTTTATTTCCATGTATGATACAGAGTAATCATGACAATTCATGTAAGCATGTAACATTTTGATATTAAACATCTCCCCGTTACCCTCTCTCACTCTCCCCTCCCTTTTCTCTCTCTTTTCCCCCTCTCCATTCTTCCTTCTTTTCCCACCAGATTCTTTCAAGAAAAGGTAGCATTTGGGGAAGATTTAGGAGGCAGAGAGGCAGAGGACACAGTTCCTGACACTCATCAGCCCAGCACTGTGCAATTTGGCAGAGGCATGTGGCACTTCCCATCTGAAGTGGAGAGGCACCTGATCAAGTTCAGGCCTGTTCCCATCTGAAGTGGAGAGGCACCTGATCAAGTTCAGGCCTGTTCCCATCTGAAGTGGAGAGGCACCTGATCAAGTTCAGGCCTGTTCCCATCTGAAGTGGAGGGGCACCTGATCAAGTTCTTCCTCACCTTTCGAATTCTAAGGGGCCAAGCCTTACTGACTTCCTTCCTTTGGAAATACAAAGTGCATCCTCATGGTTAAGGGAGCTGGGAGGTCTTTGAGCAGAAGCTTTAGACACTTCCAGCTTCTTTTGGAGTTTTAGGTTCAGGCTTAAATGCTTTTAGCTAACTTTGAACTTTCTGTCATAACCAATGTGGAATTAGATGACACCGGACTCTAACAAGAAAGGGGCAGAGGATGACAGCAAAGACAGGTGTCCTGTGACACATACCCTATTTGACAGCTTTGCCTCTGGGCTTGCACCTCTGCCAGCCCACGTGACTTAG